CAAGCCTAAACTGTGGGAGAAGTAGCATTTTGAAAGAATTTCACAGAAATTTCTATTTTTAGTAACCATGGCAACACTATTCATCAAAATCAAAAACTGATATAAAGAATTGTCTACTTGTGAAGAAAGCTTTATTAAGATCAGATCAGAACTGCTGGAGGAGTAGCATTTTGAAAGAATTTCACAGAAATTTCTATTTTTAGTAACCATGCCAACACTGTTCATCGAAATCAAAAACTGATAAACAGAATTTTGTATCTTAGTGTAGTCTACTCATGTAGAAAGTTTTATTGAGATATACAGAATTATGTAGCATAGTCTACTTGTGTACCAAGTTATACTGAAATCTGACCAAAGCTGTAGGAGAAGTAGCATTTCGAAAAAATGTTCACAGACAAACAGACAGAAAGAGGGATGATGGACACCTTACCATCACATAAGCTCTTCTGGTCTCTGATCAGGAGAGCTTAAAACTGACAATGTCACACAGGGCTCCCCAGTATTCTTATTTCAATAATCTTGACCTTTTGACCCTGACAATTGTGCAAATGGCCCAAAAATCAAAAGGGTTCTGCTTGAAATGTCTAGTGAATAATAAGTTTGGATGTTAAAATATTTTTTGGTACCATTTATATGACTTGATCAAACTTAAATCCATACAACATAGGGGAGCTGAACATTAATATGACTGTGGCCCTGCTGTTCTGGACAAGATTTTAAAGATTTTTTTTAAAATTTATTACTGTCTAAAACTTTTATCCAATTCTAACCTTGATGGGACAATAAACTCATGATTAGAATAAACTGGAATCTACACTACATTTGTAAATGAGGATGCCTGTATACAGTATGGCTTGTAGTGCTCCTGCCATTCTTAGAAGATTTTTAAATATTTTTCATATCATATACCTAAGTAAAACAAAAACCCTCATTTCTAGACCCATCCAAGCCCAGGATGGGGGCATAAATTGAACAAACTTTAATCTATACTATGTAAGGAAACTTTCATATATGTTTTGCCTTTTCTGTCCCAGTGGGTCTCAAGAAGGTGTTTAAATGACCCCTCTCCCTATTTTTGATATTTCATATTTATCTCCCCTTGACATGAGACTTAACCCTTTATTTGTATAAAGTGGAATCTCCATTTCACAAGGATGCTTTGTGCAAAGTTAGCTTGAAGTTAGTCTGCTGGTTCCTGAGAAGTGAAAAATGTGAAAAGTTAACATACACCAGACAACAAATGACAGATAAATCAGAAAACCTCACTTCAGTGTTTGGCTCAGTGAGCTAAATAGTAAATAGAATAGAATAGTAGAAATAGCAAAGGTCTCCTCCTCTAATCCATCCTCTGTATATGTAGGAAATATGAAGTTTTAAAGTTGAAAGGTACTCTTTTTATCATTTAACATAAATGTGTTGATAGATGGACAGAAGATGAACCTGGTTATTGCTTAAGGGTACCTTAAAAGAACATCACACATAACTGTACATGTTTAGTCCACTGAAAGCTGTGTTTCCCCTACCTGAAGTTGATCAATGGCAGAGAAAATGCATCATGGTTAAATCAGAATACTGACTTAAGATCACCTACCACCCTTTACCCTGGGACACTCACTGATGAAGTTTAAATAATATAGGGTCAGAGGGGGAAGGGGCATAACTTCGAAAAAGAATCTGCACACCTTCTATAATGCTCTTGACCTTTTAGCTTAAAGCTACAGTAGGGGGACAAAAGTGTTGACAAAAACATGGCGCCCGTAGAAATTATGTCGCGTCTGTCCTATCGTAAATTTTTATTTTTTATTTTTATTTTTTACCGACTACGTCATAGGGATTCCCTTTAGACACAAATAGATCAAGACTTGATCATGTGATTTCATACGTCATGTTTTCGTCTGCTGCATATATTGTTTACATTTTGATGTCAAACAAGTGATGGAGGAGAAAAGGAAAGAACTGTCGATAGCTTTGAAAGAGGTCATCGTGCAGCTTTACAGAAATGGAGAAAAAATTGCAGACATAGCACAGGCGGTGAACAAGTCCCTGTCTTCCATTTACCGTGTGATTAGAAAATTTCAAAATTCAGAAAGTCTGGAAAATAGCCATAGATCAGGCCGACCACGACTGATTGACGAACGTGAATATCGAAGGTTGCAAAGGTTAGTTAATGTTGATCGTTGTGCACCTTTGGGTGAAATTACTGCTAAATTCAACGAAAACAGGAATGTTGCGGTTTCTAAGAAGACTGTAAAACGTAGATTGAAGGAACATGGGTTTTCCAGAGGCATTTATAGGAAGAAAGTAACAGTTAAAAGTGTGAACAGGAAAAAGCGGCTGTCATGGTGTCGGGAGAAAAGATGGTGGACTGTTAACTTTCAGTGGAGTAAAGTAATTTTTAGTGATGAGTGCCAGATATGTGTTGGGGAAAATAAACGTGTGTATGTGTGGAGAAAAGCCGGTGAATGATGGAGACCGGACTTGGTTCCAAAACAAAATGGACTCAAATTCAGTGTGATGGTATGGGAATGTCTATGTTTTAATGGAGTTGGAACTTTATCTAGAGTTAATGGCAATATTAATGCTCAGAAGTACATAGAGATTTTAGACAACAATCTCTGGCCTGTCATTGCCCGTCATTTTCCAGCAGGAAACTATCTTTTTCAGGACGACAATGAACCGGTTCATCGGGCGCGGATCGTACAAGAATTCATAGCAAGAAATCATATAAAAAATATGAGTTGGCCGGCCCAATCACCGGACTTGAACATTATTAAAAATATTTGGTTGTACATTAAAAGAAAACTGCAGCAACGTATAGTATAAATTCGGATCATGAGCTGTACCAACAAGCACTCAACATCTGGCAAGATATTACTCGCAATTACGTACGGAACCTCTACCAATCTATCCCTCGCCGAATTTTGCAAGTAATTCGCTTGAAGGGACACTTGACTAAATATTAAGGTAAGTTTTTTCGTATTTTATTTCATCCAACTAAAGCAGTTACCGTTTTTCTATCCGAGTTATCTTTCTTACGACGGTTGCGCGGCGCCATTTTTGTCAACACTTTTGTCCCCCTACTGTAAGTTCAAGGACACTAAGTAAGCTTGGAAAAAATATGATGTTCTCCTTTTTCCTTGACCTATGAGTTAGAACCTTGGTTCAAGGTTATTACACACCCTATACTGAAGGACATTGTAGGTAGAGTATAACTGATGTTGAGTCATAGAAAGAGAATATATACCAAACACAAAAATTTCAAACAATGAATTGTTCTGATCAGGACCTTTGTGTAAGAGATTTGTTTTGAGGTCACTGCACATCCCCTATCCAAGAAAATTTTATAATAACAAATGATACTGAGGTAATGGACAATAAAAATATGATTTGCTTCTCACAGGAATGCTGGACGTGAAACTGGATGGAAAAACTGATTGCTACTGGACGCCTACAAGGAAGTCCTTAATTAATTTTGTTATGTCTTCAGGGTTGTAAATCTCCTAAAACACTGAAGTGTCTATGCACAAATGAGATGAATTCTTGCACAATAAGTTTTTCTTCATTAAAAGTTCACCACAACACACATTCAGGAATTCAAAATAAGCATGTCCTTTAGGTGTTGACAATAATACTTGCAATTTTCTAGCAAGAAAATTCAATTTGCAGTTTACTGACAGAAAAAATACATCTTTCATTTTTTTATTAGTCTGACAATTATATAAAGTTTACTGCTGGTACAGGTATCTCCAATATTTGAGATTATGGAGACCAGGGCTGACAATGGTGCACATTTCTGATTAAATGGATAATCCATTTTTCAAAAAAGGATTATGTAGATTTTGAAATCATGAGAAACCGTCATCAGACTTTAATCACAAGCTGAATAAGAAAAGGTAACATTTTTCTAGGGAAAGAGGCTCATGGACAACAGAGCTCACATAATTCACATTTCTCTCACAGTCTTACAAATGAGCAGAAATAATAAAGCCTGTACTGTGGACCTTACCTAAGACAAAGATAATGTCTTCATTGATTTTAATAAACATTGTTTATTAAATTATAAACTTAAACCAAGATAACCTTGTTCTTGTATAGGAAGCTAAATATACTCTAAATCCCTACTGGAGCTCTGTTTATCAAGCTGAATCTACTATATGCTTCCATGTTCATAAAAAAAAAAAAATAAAAACAAACAATGAAAAAACAAGAAATATCTTTATTTTTGAAATATGACCCACACCTTAAATCATCAACTTTAAATTTATAGGGGCAACCACAAAACTGAGTTTGATCTCTTTCAGGCAAACGGTTCTAAAGATATTAAGTACTGTATATGGGATTAATTCCAGTTGTAATTTTCACATTTTTCCCTCTTTTGGCTCAATTGTGGCTTGATGAGTTCACAGAAATTTTGTGAAAGAAAAGAAGTTACTTCCCTTTTGCTGGTGTAATTACATTTGTATAGCAAAAACAACAATTTGGTATAAAATGAACTTGACCTCAACTTCACTAGACTTGATTAAATATCCGTGGTTCACTGAATGACTCAATAATTTAATTTAATTCAAACAATCTTTCTATTGCATCCAATCCTAAACCCGAAGACCATGTTGTGAATTAATTGAATCTAAATCACATGGGTGTCTTACATACCAATTACATCCTTCAGTCTTGAGGACATCTTAAAAGATTTTTTTTTCAAAATAACTGCTATGATTGCTTCATGCAGTAACCTCATATGTAAGAGTCTGACTCCAACATCAGTAGTTAATGACAAAGTGAAGAAAGTTTGATTGAATAAGCCTGAATGGTTCTGGAGAAAAAGTCAAAAATGCAAGAAGTTATGCATGACACTAGATGAAAAAAAAAACAGAATCACATTTCCTACGCTACAGGACTCTTGTATACTCATATAAAGTTGGGGCATGTCTGGCATCAACTACAAGTGAACTGATTCTGTAACCTGCCACATATATATTATTTATATAAATGTGACTTACACATCCACGCTAGCGATGAGTTTATGGGGGTCTCCACAGCGTGAGATTTCTGTACGTACTAATTCTATCACAGACAATGGGAACTGATGTCTGAAAATAAACACATTAGGTAAAAATGAAACTATTTTTTTATTCTTTATTGAAAGACATTCATCAGATAGTTGATTTTAAGTGAACAAATTTCAGGTGACAATTTTCTGCCTTGCCAAGTTTTCTTTAGTTTGCATAGAGGTTTTCTTTAGTTTGTATAGAAGTTGTGATTTCTTATGTATTTTTCTTTAACAGTTTACATTATTTTTTTTCACACAAATGATTGTTTTGACTATTGATTCTTTACAATTAAACACTCAACAAAATCAACTTTCCTCTAAAAAAAAATGTTCCTCTTAAAACATAAAGATGCCAAAGCTTGACAAAGTTAGTTTTTTGATGTACATCATAATGAATCAAAATGTAAAACTCATTTCAAAGAGAGATTACTCTAAGATCTGAAAACTTAACTGTTCTATGCTTGTGAAAGATTACCCCAGGATCTGAGAACTTACTGTTCTATACTTGTAAGAGATTACCCTTTGATCTGAGAACTTATTGTTCTATACCAATGACAGATCACCCTATGATCTGAGAACTTATTGTTCTATACTTGTGAGAGATTACCCTATGATCTGAGAACTTATTGTTCTATACTTGTGAGAGATTACCCTATGAACTGAGAACTTATTGTTCTATACTTGTGAGAGATCACCCTATGAACTGAAAACTCATTGTTCTATACTTGTGAGAGATTACCCTATGAACTGAGAACTTATTGTTCTATACCAATGACAGATCACCCTATGATCTGAGAACTCATTGTTCTATACTTGTGAGAGATTACCCTGTGAACTGAGAACTTATTGTTCTATACTTGTGAGAGATTACCCTATAATCTGAGAACTTATTGTTCTATACTTGTGAGAGATTACCCTATGATCGGAGAACTTATTGTTCTATACTTGTGAGAGATTACCCTATGAACTGAGAACTTACTGTTCTATACTTGTGAACACATCAAAACAACCTTTAGACAGCAACTGGTCCAACATTTTCAACATAGGATAGGACACCCTAGAAAAAAAACAAGATGTGTTTGTGAAACACTGATGCCCCTGTATGGCAACTTATAGCAAAGGTTAAACTTTCTCAAATGCAAATCAAATATGTTGGTACCCAAAGTAAGGTCTTGTCTCGATGAATATACCTGTGCAATATGAAAGCCCCAGCAGCAACCATTGAATAGATATGGAAAAAGTTAACGTTTTTTCAAAAGTATGTCAAACATCAAGGTCAAGGTCAAATGGTCAAAACTGATGGTGCCCAAGGAAAGGCCTTCTCCCAAGAAATACACAGGTGAAATATGAAAGCTGAAGCACCAATCATTCAAAAGTTATGACCAAGGTTAAAGTTTTCCAAAAGTAGGTCAAACCCCAAGGTCAAGGTCAAAGGGGCAAAGCTGTTGGTATCCAAAGGAAGGTCTTGTCACAAGGATTACATATGTGAAGTATGAAAGCCCTAGCATCAGTGGTTCAAAAGTTATGGCCAAGGTTAAAGTATTTCAAAAGTATGTCAAACTCCAAGGTCAAGGTCAAAGAGTCAAAGTTGTTGGTATCAAAAGAAAGGTCTTGTCACAAGGATTCCATATGTGAAGTATGAAAGCCTTAGCACCAATCATTCAAAGTAATGGCCAATGTTACAGTTTTTCAAAAGTAGGTCAAACTCCAAGGTCAAGGTCAAAAGGTCAAAGTTGTTGGTATCCAAAGGAAGGTCTTGTCATAAGGATTACACATGTGAAGTATGAAAGCCCTAGCACCAATTGTTCAAAAGTTATGGCCAAGGTTAAAGTTGGGGAAAATTTTGCAAAACTGGGTCAAACTCCAAGGTCAAGGTCAAAAGGTCAAATATGGTGGTACCCAAAGAAAGGTCTTGTCACAAGGAATACACATGTGAAATATGAAAGCCATAGCTCCAACCAATGAAAAGTTATGGGCAATGTTAAAGTTTTTGCGGAAAAACAGACAAACAGACAGACAGACAGACGGATGGACATGGCAAAAACTATATACCCCTGAATCTTCGATACGGGGGCATAAAAAGAACAGTGCACTGAAAAATAACTGTACTCTTGTTTCTATATAACAAAATTAAATTATTAAAATAGATAAATACATACCTATCTATTTTCTGATAATCATTAAATATTTGTAACACAACTTCTCCAAAGTGGGTCATCTTCTGTAAGTCTTTACTTATAGATCTCAGGTAAACATGCAGAGAGGAGCTGGAGTTGATCACCTGTAATTAATGGGAGATAGGAGTGAGGCCAGAGCTCCACCTTAGTACAGAATTACAATAGAAAAGTAGGAAAGCTGAAGACAGAAAAGCCTAACTAAGGGTGTGATAAAGATACATATCCCATGCTGTTATAAATGATACTGACCAGTGACTCAGTCAATCCTCCTACACTGACTGTGAGGCCCAGCAGTACATTATACATGTAGGTGTCCAGTCCAAGAAGCTGAGTAAATCTACAGAATGTGTCTGAAGGAGCAGACCAGTTAATATCTTCTATCTCATTCCTAAAAAAAATTACAAAATATAAAAGAATAGGACATTTTTCCATCCAATATATATTTACTAAATATTTTTAAACCACTTGTATTCAGATTTTCAGTCTCTGGTCCACATGGATGAACTTCAAAAGAACTAATGATTAAGAAATATCTTACCTTGGAAATATACTATGTAGCTCTGTTCTATGGGGGATATCAGGAATTTCTGGACTAAAAGAAGTGTCAAATGAGACATTTCAAGGTTTATCAATAAAATGAATTTAATTTGAGTTTTTCTCAGATCTGCTCAGTAAGAATACTAACTCGTGATACAGAAACTGTGAGAACACCTGTCCAGCATGAGCTCGAGTGCGGTCAATCTTCTCACAACACTGCTGAACCAAACACTGCATGGCTCTCTTACAACTGAAATATTAACAGATCAAAGTAACCAAATTTTGTAAAATTTACACTAAAAATGGAATTAAGTCCCCGGACAAGGAATGTGTGGTTCTATTGGCAAAATTCAAAATAAGAAGCAAAGAGCAATCATACACAATTCGGAGTTCGGGACTAAAAGACAACAGGAGAGAGAGAGATAAAAACCAGCGTGTTTCAGCATGAGATTTTTACTTACATGTCACTAGTGAAGAGATCAGGTCTGTTGTTCACCAGCAATGAGGTCACCTCTATCAGTCCAGTCATGCTTGCTTCTCGGACCCTGTACAAAACATTTCCATGAAAACAGTCATCTTTCAAAGCACAATTTTGAAATACAGTGCGCTAACTCTCCTTTGTAGCTGCGATATACATTTGTTCAGTTTTGTCTTTTGTGCATTTCTATTTTGCCAAACATTTTGTTTATAGTAGTTATTGCTTTGTACTTATACTTTCTTCAAAACAAATATTTGTGAGTTCCTTGCTCTCTTGAATCTTATTTTAAGATTCCTTTCAAAGAAAATTGAATTACAGAATTGCACTAAAATCAATTCAAATTACGGTATAACCATAAAAAACATTATACTTTGAGAAAATGAGTCAAAAACTAGAGGTACTGTGAGCACTGAGCTCACTAAATGATACCCCCGCCTCCCTTATGATTATAAATGCAAAGTCCATGTTTTGCTCCAGGAGACCCGAAATAGTGTCAGATCAAAAAGTAAAATAAGAGGTGCACAATGGCATTATGTAATAAAGAATCTGTGAAAGAATCATTAAATTTTATTCAGTGGTACAAGAGGAGTTGTGGATAAGAGATGGGTACCCCAAAGTGTAACATACGGATGTACAGACAGAAGGATGGACATACAGGAGGAGTTGCGGATAAGAGATGGGTACCCTTCAATATAATAGAAAGAATGACAGTGTCCATGTTTTGCTATGGGAAACCCAAAATATGTGTCTGAACAAGAAGTAAAACAGGAGGTGCACAATGGCACTATGTAGCAAAGATTCTGTGAAAGTCTCATTAAATTTCATTCTGTGGTATAAGAGGAGTTGCTGATAAGAGATGGGTACCCCAAAGCGTAACAGATGGAAGGACAGACATACAGATGGACGGAAGGACAGACAGACGGACATCCAGATCACTATATACCCTCTCACTTTTCAAGTGGGGGGTATAAGTCAGGAAAAAGGATGAAATATAAGAATAATTCAATAAATTAGAGGAGTCATTCCTTTCCACAACTTTCTGTATTGCCGTACTATTTAATTACATACTGAGTGATTTTCCTTCATTTGACATTTATCCCTCTGTTATAAGATTTAATTTTTGATACTACTAAATATTTAGAACTTTTTGTCCACTTGCTAGAAACATGTCAGAGTTGACACCTACCAGGCTCCAACATCCCCACGACTATCTAAGGTGTAGTCTGTCATGGCCGTTAGCAGAGAGTTGTAGACTGCTGGAACATTGTCAGCACACAGACTGTCTGTAGGTGATTTACCTACTCCCACCGTCTTACACACCCTGTAATAAATAATACATAGACACCCTCACAGACAAAACTTAATATCTTACTCCCACCGTCTTACACACCCTGTAATAAATAATACATCGACACCCTCACAGACAAAACTTAATATCTTACTCCCACCGTCTTACACACCCTGTAATAAATAATACATCGACACCCTCACAGACAAAACTTAATATCTTACTCCCACCGTCTTACACACCCTTTAATAAATAATACATAGACACCCTCACAGACAAAACTTATGCCCTGTTCACACGGAGAGTTTAATTCGAATTAAACGTAAGTTACTGCGAATTAAATTTGATGCGCGTTCACACGGAGAATTTAATGCGAATTAGTTTAATTCGAATTAGTTTACTGCGCATTAAATTACTTCGCATTAGCTCCGTGTGAACGCTAAGCGAAGCTAATGCAAATTAAATTTTGACGCATGCGTAAGGGCAGAATTAAGTCACAGGCCACATGTCGATGATCAAATATGGGTACTTGTGCTATTTTTGAGTGGAAAATAAAGGAAAATTATTTTAATCACTAAAAGGTGCACAGACACTGTGACATAATGTCAAATGTATATCTGCTCTGCACAATATGACGTGATTTGTAAATGACGTCACAATAGCCTCACTGAATAGCCATGTTGTGGAAATAAAATTATAATTCGCATTAGTTTACTTCGCATTAGCTGTCGTGTGAATGCAATTTAATAGGCATTAGTTTAATTCGCATCATTTTACTTCGCATTAATTTACTGCGAATTAAACTCTCTGTGTGAACAGGGCATTAATATCTTACTCCCACCGTCTTACACACCCTGTAATAAACCATACATACACACCCTCACAGGTTAAAAACTATCCAGTCTTAAATGTACAATCTCTAAAGCATAATTCAAAAAATTTTTCAGATTGGAGTACATAAATGCTGAAATTATTTCTTCCTTCTGAAACATATATGCATAATACTTTCATTATACTGTCACTCTTAGTTTGCTTAATCCATTGAAATCTCCTGCTTTTCAAAAATGAAGTTAAGCATGACAATATCAATTAATACTTTGTTCTTAGCTTGAGTTTGTTAGACTAACACACTGTACAGACAGAATATGAAACTCTTCCCTATTAAAACCAATATTAGAAGTCTCAATGCTCTTTGACACTTACTCTGTAATGGCCTTGACAGCGTCTCTCCGTGCCTCCACCCATTTTTTCTCCTTCTCAGTTATGGCAGTGGCCTCCATTAAACTTGTTAATACAACCTCTAATTTTCCTTGAATAAAAAACTTTGGTAATGCTCCAAGAGCCAAAGAAAATCCCATTCTGAAAGGAAATATACCTGTACAAAATCTTTACTCTCTGAAACACTGTACTCAAGCTAGAATTCAAATATGGCATTATTAGCAAGAGTGTTAGGGAACACTAGAATTGACATAATTAACCCTTCATTCTGCATCGCAAGTAAGAGTTCCCTTTCTTGGCATAAAAAAATCTCTAAATTTACTTCAGCCAATTTTTCAGGACAAAGTCCTTATTTTACTTCTCACTAAAAATTCCACATATACAGTATTTAAAGGGAGACAATACACACCTGCAAGATTCCACATTACTCTTTAGTTCCTGTGTGTACTTATTTATCACAAACTCTGAAACATAAATCAACATGTAATCAATGTTGACATTATAAATTCATGTACATTTAAAAATGAGAAAAAACTATTTTACTGACTAATAATTTTTAGGCCCAAGGAAAGAATTTCCCACAGATGTAACTGTAAACAGAAAACAATGGAGTCACCCTGTTTATCTTTCTTTGGTCCTCCATCACCTTCCATGTAATACTCTCTGTAAAACGCAGGAATCGCCTGAGCTGCTGCCACCTTACAATAAACATAAACAAATGTGAAAAATTGCTCAACTTTGAATATACCAAATTCAAATACTGCGAAATCACTAATTTTCTTGAGGAATTCATTTTTCTTCAATTTCTTGGTATGAAGAAACCCACGAATTCATGTCGCCTACGAAATGTAAAATCTCAAATATAAAATAACACAGCACTTCATCAACCATGAAATCACATCCCTACGTACCAATATTTTTTCTCCAAACATTGAAAATTTGACCCCATGAAAATATGTGATTTTACAGTACATTTACAGTAAATGTATATCTATAAATTAGAGTCAAACAATGCTTTAAGTTTTCTTTTCCAAGAAGCAAATTCACAGACAACACATTTGACATTTAAAATCTGAATGTGACCTAAAACTGAAAAAGACTGAAGTAAAACTCAGTGACAAGAATTAATAACTACCTGAATATCCTGCTCTATGTGTTGTAAACATCCACTGATCAACTCCTGCCACAAATCTGAAAAAATAAGTCATATTAATCGTATTGTATTATGCAACATTAAAATAATGTAATTTACCGTATAGGATCCCCATGGAAGGATAGTTTAGCCAGGTGTTTTTTATTACATGTTGTATTAACTTACCCAGTATAGGGTGCCCATGGAAGGAGAGTTTAGCCAGGGACAGCTTCTCTATCAGACAGGTGTTTTCTTATTATTAGTAACTTACCCAGTATAGGGTCCCCATGGAAGGGTAGTTTGGCCAGGAACAGCTACTCTATCAGACAGGTGTTTTTTTTTATTATTAGTAACTTACCCAGTATAGGGTCCCCATGGAAGGGTAGTTTGGCCAGGAACAGCTACTCTATCAGACAGGTGTTTTTTTAATTATTAGTAACTTACCCAGTATAGGGTCCCCATGGAAGGGCAGTTTAGCCAGGAACAGCTACTCTATCAGACAGGTGTTTTTTTATTATTAGTAACTTACCCAGTATAGGGTCCCCATGGAAGGGTAGTTTAGCTAGGGACAGCTTCTCTATCAGACAGGTTACTGCCTTCCTCATCAAGTCCCCACCCCATCCACGGAACAAACGGGCTTCATTCAACTGTCAAAAAATAAGTAAATATAACAATATTTAATTGCATAGTGTTAATTGCAATTCTGCAACTCAAATCAATTTGGACCTCAGAAAACATCCAATGACATTATTACCTGTTTTACTATGTCCTTCATATCACCTATAACCTGTTGACTTAATACATCTGTAATTGATCTGAAACACAAAGTATTATTGTCTTTAAAAAAATGTGTTAAAGATATACATGTATATCTAGGGTATTTCAAATTACATTTGATATTATGCAACATGCATAGTAAACATGTCACTGAGACTCTTACTTGTTCTGGTCCTCTGCAACTTTAGCGAGGGCATGTGTAATCTCTGCTACCGCTAAAATGGAGCCATGCCTAGCAAACAGATCCATACCCGTTGTCAAGGTGATCAGCCGAGGCAGCACTGTTATACATTTAAATATCATTACTACAAACCCAGTATTATTTACAATTTAGTTAACACTTTTCTAAGAGAGTCTACTCAGTGAAAATACCTTGGCTTGCCATGTACTCTGGTGCTTTAGGGGTCAAATTATGGAGTCCTCTAGCTGATAACTCTCTTACTGCACTGCACACAAAAATAAAACCCATTAGCAACACATTTTGCTTGGTATTTTGTAACAAAGTAATTCATTTCTTTAATCTTGATTTGCATGTGTTGTTTGATAAAGAGATACAGGATGTTTTCCTTACCTATCCCAGTGTGTGGCCTTGACCTCCAGGTGGTTAATCAAGGCAATAGTGTATTCTGGAAACTGGGCAATGTACACACTGAAATCAAAGAGATTTATTTAAAACCCTGAGGTACTGTGAGCACTGAGCTCACAAGATGATACCCTTCTCCCATAAGCATAATGGCGAAGTCCATTTTTTGCTATGGAAAACACCAAATATCTGTCTGATCAGAACATAAAATAGGCAGTTCACAATGACATTATGTAATAAAGATTATTTGAAAGTCTCATTTAATTTATTCAGTGGTATAGGAGGAGTTGGAGATAAGAAATAGGTACCCCAACAATTCATATGTCTGATACCCAACACTATATATATATATACCCCCTCCCCACCCACTTTTCAAGCAAGGGGGGGTATAATAACAATATACTATTTACAAGCTTTATCACCATAGCAAATCTCTTGCAAAAATAAGCAACAGGAGAAAATACCTCAAATCCAGATAGCAGTGTGCCCTGTTTCCCACAGCAAAATAATCAGCATGTGTTAGAATATCAATACCATGTGGGAAAATCCCCTGTAAAGATTATAAAATATTATCTTTTAAAGCACTGAAATTGAGAAAAAATACTATATGGCAATAAAATATCTAAACAAGTACCTTTTTTTTTACATATAGATTTTATACTTTCTTGTTATGCCCCTGAATTACTTTTTTTCTGTCACACCTCAATATTACATCTTACATGTCACCCCACAGAATTATATACTGTAGAAGCATAAATTTGTGGGGAAAAATTTTGTTAATTTGTCCTCTAAAAAGGTTTCATGGGCATTTAATTTCGTTGTTTCGGAAGTCATCCTATTCAATATATAGTCATATAAAAATTTTGTGTGGGATTTAATTTTGTTGATAATCATTAACACTGAAAAAAAAACGAAATTTAATCCCCAACGAATATTTCTGTTTTTACAGTATACATGTAATGTGCCTGTAATCTCACAGAATAACAATAACAGAATAACATCCTACAAAAATTATATCTTACCTGTTGTCCTACAAAAATTATAGCTTACCTGTTGTCCCACAGAATTATATCTTACCTGTTGCCCCACAGAATTATATCTTAACTGTTGTCGCACAGAATTATATCTCACTTGTTGTCCCACAGAATTATATGTTACCTGTTGTCCTACAAAAATTATGCCTTACCTGTTGTCCTACAAAAATTATATCTTACCTGTTGTCCCACAGAATTATATCTTACCTGTGTTCCCAAAGAATTACATTTTATCTGTGGTCCCACAGAATTACCTCTAAAATGTTGTCCCAAAGAATTATTCTTACCTGTCCTCCCACAGAATTATATCTCACCTGTCCTCCCACTGAATTAAATCTCACTTGTTGTTCCAAAGAATTATATCTCACTTGTTGTCCCACAGAATTATATCTCACCTGTTGTCCCACAGAATTATATCTTACCTGTTGTCCCACAGAATTATATCTTACTGTTGTCCCACAGAATTATATCTTACCTGTTGTCCCACAGAATTATATCTTAACTGTTGTCCCACAGAATTATATCTCACTTGTTGCCCCACAGAATTATATCTCACTTGTTGCCCCACAGAATTATATCTTACCTGTTGTCCTACAAAAATTATGTCTTACCTGTTGTCCTACAAAAATTATATCTTACCTGTTGTCCTACAAAAATTATGCCTTACCTGTTGTCCTACAAAAATTATATCTTACCTGTTGTCTCACAGAATTATATCTTACATGTGCTCCCAAAGAATTACATTTTATCTGTGGTCCCACAGAATTACCTCTAAAATGTTGTCCCACAGAATTATTCTTACCTGTCCTCTCACAGAATATCTCACCTGTCCTCCCACAGAATTATATCTCACCTGTCCTCCCACTGAATTATATCTCACTTGTTGTTCCACAGAATTATATCTCACTTATTGTCGCACAGAATTAGATCTCACCTGTCCTCCCACAGAATTAGATCTCACCTGTCCTCCCACAGAATTATATCTCACATGTCCTCCCACAGAATTATATCTCACCTGTCCTCCCACAGAATTATATCTCACCTGTCCTCCCACAGAATTATCTTACCTGTCGTCCCACATTCTCTTGAAAGGCTGCAGCAGCTGCTCTTCTGACATTGACCTCTCTGTCAAATATTGACACCTTTACCAAGGCACTTTAAGAAAAACAAATTTCAAAGGTTAAAATGTGTAAATAGTTAGTGCATAAATGAAAAGTATCTTCATACAAATGAAAATCTTGTCAAAGATCATATCCATGTACACTTTCTGTGTTTGCCCTTACTGACATGTACATGGACATTAGACATTATATTTCTATGAGCAGTGGTTTTATTTTGAGTCTCTGAACATACATGCATAATTAACTATATATGGTGCAAACATAAACTTACTTGGCAATATCTTTGACATACTCTGCCAGATCTCCAGGTTCATAAGCACGGGCAAATGCCCAGCAGACATAACAAGCTGCATCCCTCACATTGGCTCCCACAGAAAAATCTCCCCTCCTCTCATCATACTCCAAGGACTTTAACACAACAGGCACCACTGAAGATGAACAAATGAGTATATCATACCAGAACAACGTACACTCACCAGAGCAAGAAATTCATGGAAACTGACTGTAAATCTAAACAACATGTACCATTTACAGATATCAATTACACTTCATCTTAAATAACAACTTTCCTTCGCTACTTTCTTTTAATTAAGGTCTTCCGTTTCCAACGGAAGACCTTCTACTGATTGTGATGATTAAGATTATTCTTATTATTCTTTTTTTTTTTTTTTCCTAGACGCCAACTTTGACGCTTCATATCTTCCTCATTTTTAAACAGATTTTGTTCAAATTTTCAGAGCTTTTAGACTTTACAAAACACTGTCAGAATACCGTAATACAATTCCGAAATTACCTTCTGTTCACGAGTTATTCCCCTTTGATTGAATTTAGCATGCCTCCGATTTCCAGACAAAGGCTCAGAAATGGTTATAATTGGAGCACAAAACGCTTTGAAATTGAAAAGAGGAAGCATTGAAGTTGTGCACATCGGTTTTTGTTTTTTGATTTTTGCATTAAAAATGGCGCTAGAGAGGGGTCAAAAGTTAGAACGCGGAAAACAGCAAAAAATTTGACATATTTTCCTTTATATCTTGAAAACTAGAAATATTTTGTTAAGACATGTAGAACAAAAGTTGTGCATAATTGCAAGGGCTTTCATATCATACTATTTAAAAGGGGCTGGTCCCTATGATTAGGGATCTTGGGCCCTTAAAAGTTTTTGCTTTATAACTCAAAAACGGTAAATATTTCGATCTGGATCTTGGGAACAAAATTGTTCTTTTACACCTTTTTGATCTAATGAAAATGTTGTTTTGTTCGAGTATACCATGGGTATTGCGTAATACGTATTAGAAAGCAGGCCAGGTAAACAGGTAACGTTTTTCATTCGGCAAGGAAATCAGACCTCTTCATGTGTATAACTTAAACAGACTTGCTATCAATAATATACCCTGCGGTATTTAATGTTAATTTTCTTTTTAATAAGGTTTAAAACGTGGTTTATGGTTCACTATTAAATTATTTATTACAACTAGTCTTTCTTTTCTTCTTTTTTAAATTAGATTAATAGTGTTCAAAAGCGGAGAATATTAAATCTATCTTTCTACGTTTATTATTACAACAAACTTTGTAAGTGATTTTAAACTGTATGCATTGAATAATTCACGATCATTAGCTGTATGCATATTACGGTCTCCATGTTCAGCTCGATGTTTAGTTATGTAACCCAACGCGCGAATCCCACGCTGTTGATCGAGGTCACCAGTGTACTAGCCACCTGTGGCCATAAACAAAGCTAGTATTTGTGATCGCGTATAATGTCAATTTTGTACAAAGAGCTATTAATTAATGGAAAGGTATGTTTTTAATTATATCGAATCAGTAAGATTACTTTACCGATCTTTTATAATCTTAATTCCAAACACTGGTGCAAAAAATCATTTTGAATTTTAATCGCTGTTTTTGTCTGTTCACACATAATACATTTTAAAAAAAGTTGCTCTATCCCGTGTTGTTGTATTTTAATTCATCTGCAATTGTAATTGAATGGGGGCTTCGGTAAATAATTGTAATTACTACGCATGCTACGCACATATTATTTTTACCATCACTCTTGTGAATGTCCATTTATTATTTATAGAATTAAATAAACATTAACATAAATAAAAATTCCTTCAAATGTACTATAATTCAAGTCTTTGTAAGATAGCAAACAGTTTCATCCATCTCTGCCGCTTTGTGTCTTAAGTGTTGTAGTCCAGTCCTCGTTTACATACACGGTGCCACAGAGAGCCGCGGGCACCTCGATGTTGAAATACATTGTGTACTCTGATAGTTGCTCTACACCGCACAAACAACTAACGTGTACATGCAGTGTAGTAATTGGCAAAGATTGTTTGAAAAATATAAACTCGCATGTGTTCGCTATGAAGCATTCAGTTTAAAATTTTATTTACATGTAGATACCTTATAAGAACAAAATAAAGTAAATGTATAACACCTAGAACAATGTTTAAAAATTAAAATACAAATATCGTGTGCTCGGAAGGGAAGATGGCTTGAAAGGGTGTGTCTGTGAATGCTTGGATCTAGCAACACACTTCGCAAAAGTAAGCATACTTGTGTCCAAATTCTTTAAAAGTGGGGGCAATCCCCAATCCTCGCACCCTTCCTCTTTGAATCTAAAAATATATACCATACTGAGAGTTGTATATAGAGCGGGAATGTTATTTTATTAGTCCTTAAAGGCACAACTTAAGAAATGACTTATAAATTTTTTTTAGCTAAGATTGTTTCGCGATACAGCTGTGATAAATCTTAGGAACTTCTAAAGTTATAACTTAGGCATATCTTAAGATAACTTAGGAAACGTTTTTGAAACAGGCATGTCAAGCATTCAGTCAGATCTATTACGACGTCCATATTACCATATAAGAGAATGAAATTTTGTTTTGTATATAAAGTGGTTATTACAAATATGCGTGTTACAAAAATGTATGTTGAAATCTTCAAAAGCTATCGAATTATTTGCATACGTGTACTCGTACATATGAACATTGATCAACACTGATCAAGTGTATACCGGGACCCGGGATAGTCTTATTGTAGCTCTTGCTTTGTCAAATCATTACTTTCATACCCCTTGCATTTAAGAAAAACAATGTTATAAAAAAAATAATAATCTGACATAAAACAAGTATACATGTAGCGTGTGCAATTTATTTGGCTAGGGGCATGTACACACGTGGTTCGAAACTGTAGGGGGCTACAAATGCGGCCATAACTAGTATATTTTTGAGGTGTTATAAAAAACAAATAATACTCACAAAAGCTTATAAAATTGCCGTTCTATCGATACCTTATATGCCATGTTTCATCCACCAACAACGCCACGACATCGATGAGAAATACGTTTCTACACGGGCATTTTCTTCGAAAAGGATAGGAAGTTAATGAATTAAAATAATTAATTCTTTTAGTTAACGCATTATGTTTACCTCTTTATTTGTTGTATGCAATAAGTATAGACCTTACTAATAATGACTGTTTGGTTGTCACACCTGTGCATGTGTCGTGTGAGGTACAGCGGTAAGGTAAATTACCGAGAGTCGCGATGTGCGGGGTGATTCGGAATACCCTAAATGACTGTGGTCCATTGAATTTCTACTAGTAAATCAACCTGTCAAATCTAACATGGGCCCACATCACTGGCGGATTTAAGGGGGGGGGGCGTGGGGGGCGCACGCCCCCCCTAAAATTTTCAAAGTATGATATGACTAATATTAATAATGCCATACTGTGGTATATAACTAACCAATACCACTATTTTTGTGCCTGGTTTTACTCTTAAAATACACGAAAACCCAGGAGCTTCCGGGGGCTTCGCCCCCTGGGCCCCCTCTATTCAAAGTATGATATGACTAGTATTAATAATGCCAAACTTTGGTACAAATAAACTAACCAATACCACTATTATTGTGCCTGGTTTTACTCTTAAAATACACGAAAACCCAGGAGCTTCCGGGGGCTTCGCCCCCTGAGCCCCCACCAGGGCTTTGCCCTGGACCTACCCCCAGACCCCCTGCCTAAACGAAGTTATCCACGCCCCCCCCCCCCTAATCACAAATCCTGTATCCGCCCATGCACATAATACGACTAAATTCGTTTCATGAATGAACTGGTTCTTAACAAATATATGTACAGTATACACTATCTTTTCTTTAGATCTGTTTGTTTATTATTTTCAACCACAATCTGCAGTACATGTATAGTTACACGAAATCCATGCACAACGGCGCTACACCTGTCAATCAAAATCACTCGATATTGTGAACTCAGTCTGGTGTTACGGCAGCATTTCCGAAGTGATTCAAAATATTCTATCGGCTAATTCTAATTTTTCGCGTTGAATAATAATATTCTGGAACAAAGTTGGAATTAAGGCTGGAGCTGCATGCTGTGAATTTATCACACCTGCAGTCTGCAGTCTTCCCTTCTTACATGTATATGAAGCATCTGTTGAGTAATGAATCAGAGAGCATAATATGCGGAACAAGTTTGATTGAGATTTTTACTTTTCCTTTAAGATAAAATGATTAATAACATAATTTATGCATCTAATAGATACATATAAATGTACATGTATAGCTTATTAAAAACAAGAATCTGTAATTGAAAATGTGAAAGTGAAGAGTTTAGGTAATAGTTCTTAGCCAAAATTTAATGACAGTTCATTCCTTCCTAGTCTCTATATAACTTTTAATTACGGCCGTGCCCTCTCCCCTTCAAAAGATGTCTAATACATGCTTTTAAATTCTGTTTATGTATCAAGAAATTTATACAGGTACTTGTGGACAGGATCCCCCCCCCCCAAATTCAACCCCAATGTTTGTTGGACATTTTTTTCCACAAATTATATTTATTACACTTATTCATCATGTGTACCATAGGAAAAAATCGAGTACAAGTACCTGTGGAAATTTCTATTTGCCCCCCCCCCTTCCCAAGAAAACTGAAATTGTTTTCTACGGGCTTGACAACAGGTACTTGTGGACAGACCCCCCCCCCCCCCCCCGATATTCAACCCCGGGGCTTGTTGGACATTTTTTCCACAAATTATATTTATTGCACTTACTCATCATGTGTACCATATGAAAAAATCGTGAAAACCCCAAAATAATCGTTCCACACAAAAAATGCCTCACTATGTATAGTTAAAACATTAATTTTTCATATTTCTTGATGAAATTAACATTAATAAAATCAACACAAAATTAATACCGAATTACATATCACTTGAATTTATCATAAAGCAGAAAATCTGTTCTGCGGGCTTCAAGGCCAGCTCAGGAACCTAAAGATGTCCTCATTTAATTTCCAAGTCCAGTACAGAACGTAAATTAAATGAAATAAATCACACGATCACTGGGAAGAACTCAAAGAAAGAAGACTCTTGAGGAAAAGATATTTTGATTCGACTTATAGACTGAAATAAACCGATATTCTCTTTTTGCCACTCTTTCCTGGTGCCCTGGGACTCTGAATGTAGGATCAGTATTTTTCTCACAGGTCCGTTGTACGGATTGTACGGGGGGGGGGGGGGCAGACCTTCTGAAAATAGTCTTTTGTTGTAGTTTTAATATGTAAATTTTGATTTAGTTGCTGCTTGCACCCTCCCCACTCTTTGTTTCTCTACGGTCATACATAGGCGAATCCCAGCAAAAATGTAATGACCCCCCCCCCCTCCAACACACACTTTTTTTAAAATGTGTATTGCGATAGGACTTAAAATTGGAAAAATTTTCTGTATATCTCTACATCGAAAAATATAAAACAAATATTTTTTTTATATTTCCTTTTTAAAACAACATAGATAATTATGCATAGCTAATTAAATACTGAATTAAATATTTATCTTTGCAGACAATATGCTCTGGGTTATAGAACATGATGTGAAAGCGTATCGTAATGCACCTTGTAATCCTTTGGATTTTCAGATTTAAGGCCAATGCGAAAACCCAAAGACGCCGATATTTTATTATGCTACTGTAATCGAAGATCCGGGGGGCATACAGTTTTTGTCCTGTCCACCTGTCTATTTGTCTGTTAGACTGTGTTAGCCTCTTTGTCCGCAAAAACTTTAACTATGCCCAAAAAAATTGTTTGGTTGGAACTACTGCTTTCATATTTCTTATGTGTATTCCTAGTAACAAGGACTTCCTTCAGGTACCAACATATTTGACCTCTTGACCTTGAACTTGGAGTTTGATCCTCTTTCGCAAAATTTTACCAAACTATAACCTTGGCCAAAACTTTCGAACAGTTGGTGCTATGGCTTTTATACTTCACATCTGTATCCCTTGTGATAAGTCTCCTCCTTGGGTATAAATATGTTTGACCATTTGACCATGACCTTGGAGTTTGACCAACTTTTAAACAACTTTAGCCTTGACAATAACTTTTGAATGACTAGTACTAGGGCTTTTATATTACATAGGTAATTTTCTTGTGACAAGGCCTGTCAATGTATACCTTTAATTTTGACCATTTTACCTTGACCTTTGAGTATGTCCTACTTTTGAAAAACTTTAACCTTGGTTTTAACTTTTGAACAGTTGGTGCTAAGGCTTTTTTAATACCACATGTGTATTCCTTGTAACAATTAAGACCTTCCCTCAAGTACAAACAATTATGATCCCTTGACCTTGGAGTTTGACCTTTTAAAGAAATTAACCTTGGCCATAACTTGTAAACTGTTGCTGCTGTGGCTTTCATACTAGTATATATTTCACAGTATATTCTTTGTTCAAGACCTTTATTTGGGTAATAACATTTTTTTTTTATCTTTTGATCTTGACCATGGAGTTTGACTTGCATTTGAGAAACTTTTAACTTTTGCCATAAGATGCCATATGGGGCATCAGTGTTTCAAAAATCACATGTTGTTCAGTATCCAAATCGGGCATAAAACATTTACAATGATCCTTTAAAGCAGTGAGTTGAACCTAATAAATTACGACTATAGAAATTATGATAATTTATTTCGATGTATGGTCTAAAAAAACGTTTATTATACCTCTGTGAAAACTAGCTTACAAGTGAAAAATCACTAGTAAAATAGAATTTGATTGGCCGAGAAAGTCACGTGTCCATCATGTTTGCCCTGCAACAAAACGTCGTGTTTCACGATTGTGACGTCACAATTAAACGAGTGAGGAGTTAGATTGTTTATAGCGACGCTGCTAACTTCGTTCGCGCGGTAACAACAACTAAAAATTCACCCCAAAAAATCACCTTAATTAATGGAATTGCATACAGATAGTAGATTAAACGTTCTTTGTTAAAATGTTTGCACTTTTCAAAATTCGTTTATGGAAATACAGCTAACATACGTCATGAGACGTCACAGTCTAGACGTTCCAAATGTCTCGTGCTGTTTGAAGAGGCGGATCTTAAAATTAAGTGAACAATGCACTCGCCCAACGGTCGCACCGTCAACATATTATCGTTGATTGATTGTGTCGATTTAAATATGTAAAAGTGTAATGGTGTTTGAATGTTACTGGTGTGATCACACAAACTTGTCACGTAGGAATTTTTTTTTTAATGAAGCGAGGCTATTGGTGTACCTGTAACTTACATCTCTTTCATATCGTTCTCATCAAATGCATGTTTGCTTTATTCATTGGATCTCCTTTGTAATTCCTGCATTTTGGTTAATTCGGTATTAAAAAAAATTTATTGCATAATAGTGAGGGAGACATAAGATTTCTTCGCAAATGAAAAATCATATTTCCCTCGGGCGTTGCCTCCGGGGAGTATGATTTTTCATGGGCGAAGAAATCTTCATGTTGCCCTCGGGGAATATGATTTTTTATGGGCGAAGAAATCTTCATGTCTCCCTCACTATCATGCAATAAATGCAAACTGTGAACTTGTCAATTCCGAAACACACAAAAGGGTATCGCTGATATCATACAGAGTGTATCATTGCCTTGATCAGGCCTATAGGAAGCAAATTCAGGGGGGGGGGGGCAGCCATACATTTTCAGTCGACAGTTCAGGGGGCACTACTACCATAAATTTCCTGACAAGCAGAAAAAAAGGTCACCAACTACCAAAAATTCCTTGACAAGCAAAAAAAAAAAAGAAGGTTATCAGACGTTTTTATTGAGGTGGCACAAGCTATAGTATCTATGTCTACTATAGTAATCTATATATCGGCAAATTTATTGGGGGGCCCTCCCTCGGTTCCTACGGCCATGTTGATTAAATTTAGGGTCACTAAGGAAAGAATGTTTTGACTGGATGAATGGTCTGAAAGAACATGTGTTAACTTGTCGAGTCGGTAACACATAGATGGGGTTTGCTTATAACCAGAGTGTGTCATGGTTTGATGCAAGGTCATTTGAACGAGTTCAAGGTCATCAACGGAGAAACAACATTCCTTAACTGTCTTTCTACTGGTGAGACATTGCAAGTTGATACCCCTTACAAGATTGCTTATAACCTTAGAATGTGGCATGACCTTGACTCAAGGTCACTTCTTCCTGTTCGCAGCTCCAACGGAAGACCTACTCGTTGCTTTGCAACGAGCTCTGCTCTAGTTTTTTTTCTTTTTTTTTTTTGCCATTTGAATACACTACAGATTACCTTGTCTTCAGTACTGGTAGTCTAAGTACATGTAATAATATTTTCAAGGTACAAAGAGCATTTTTCATTCATGGTAATGTGATAAAATGCTACATTTTCTTACTTAAATAAATGGCATAAAATAGAGCTGTTTTATTTTCCTGCTAAATATATCCACACAGGCAACACCAAAGTTTTTTGTGATTTCCGTGAGATTATTAATTGTTTCTAGTGATTTTCCATGAGATTTTTTATTGTTTTTTGTGATTTTCTGTGAGATTATTAATTGTTTCTAGTGATTTTCTGTGAGATTATTAATTGTTTTTTGTAATTGTTCCGTGAGATTATTAATTGTTTTTTGTGATTTTCTGTGAGATTATTAATTGTTTTTTGTGATTTTCTGAGAGATTATTAATTGTTTTTTGTGATTTTCTGAGAGATTATTCATTGTTTTTTGTGATTTTCCGTGAGATTATTAATTGTTTTTTGTGATTTTCTGTGAGATTATTAATTGTTTCTAGTGATTTTCCATGAGATTTTTTTATTGTTTTTTGTGATTTTCTGTGAGATTATTAATTGTTTCTAGTGATTTTCCATGAGATTTTTATTGTTTTTTTGTGATTTTCTGTGAGATTATTAATTGTTTTTTGTGATTTTCTGTGAGATTATTAATTGTTTTTTGTGATTTTCTGAGAGATTATTCATTGTTTTTTGTGATTTTCTGTGAGATTATTAATTGTTTTTTGTGATTTTCTGTGAGATTATTAATTGTTTATTGTGATTTTCTGAGAGATTATTAATTGTTTTTTGTGATTTTCTGTGAGATTATTAATTGTTTCTAGTGATTTTCCATGAGATTTTTTATTGTTTTTTGTGATTTTCTGTGAGATTATTAATTGTTTTTTGTGATTTTCTGAGAGATTATTAATTGTTTTTTGTGATTTTCCGTGAGATTATTAATTGTTTTTTGTGATTTTCCATGAGATTATTAATTGTTTCTAGTGATTTCCCATGAGATTTTTTATTGTTTTTTGTGATTTTCTGTGAGATTATTAATTGTTTTTTGTGATTTTCTGTGAGATTTTTTATTGTTTTTTGTGATTTTCTGTGAGATTATTAATTGTTTCTAGTGATTTTCTGTGAGATTATTAATTGTTTTTTGTGATTTTCTGTGATATTATTAATTGTTTTTTGTGATTTTCTGTGAGATTATTAATTGTTTTTTGTGATTTTCTGTGAGATTATTCATTGTTTTTTGTGATTTTCTGTGAGATTATTAATTGTTTTTTTGTGATTTTCCGTGAGATTATTAATTGTTTTTTGTGATTTTCTGTGAGATTATTAATTGTTTTTTGTGATTTTCTGTGAGATTATTAATTGCTTTGTTTTTACCATCAGGAAGCCTCTGCGGTAGTAACAGGCCTCTTCTTCCAAGTTCTGCTAATGTCAAACAACCTACAAAGTATCACGTACATGTAATCTCTGCCATAATTATTCTAAATCAGAGACAATGATCAAAATAAATGTACAGCATAAAATTGAATATTGTGAATTGATTATTTACCTCCATGCCAAGCCCCTTCAGTTTCCTGTAGAGTGAACAATTGAAGAACAGACTCCACAACTTCATCTGCCAAATCCCGTGGTAGACGCCCAGTGACTCTACCAATGCTGAAAATTAGGAAAATACTTGAAGTTTTATCATCAAAAAAAGCACATTTTATGAGTATGGTGGAACTTGTCTAATCCAGATGTTGTGTCCTTAAGTCCCTTGCAGTAAATTCAATTCTTAAAAATATTGTCTAATCTTGTCAGTTTCTTTGGAACTGGTGGAGTCTGGATTAGACAAGTTTTACTCTATATCATTTTTGTAATTTCAAACTCTACCAAAATTATAGGGAACAGATTATCTGACACATTCATGATAATAGCAGTGTTTTATATATGGTACGTACTTCATATACTTGTACATGCATGTAATGTGTATTTTGCATTGTCCTGCTTTAAGCCACTCACAACAGAATAAAGCTACAGAACATGAATAATGCAAGTATAAGTTATGACTCTAGAAGTAAATGTATATACTGATAAGAACTAGCTCTGAATGAAAAACATGTCATTACCCTTTTGCAGCAGACCATCTGACAATTGTGTCTTTATCCTTGAGTCCACCAAGCAAAGTCTCTGAAAAGGATGAAAAACTTTTCTTTCAAAATACAAAACACCATTAAAATTAAAGCACATCTTTCATACAGATATGATCAATTACAATGTAACAATATTTTAATTACATATTTGCCTTTATTTTGTATGGATTATCCATTGATTACATATTTGCCTTTATTTTATTTTGTATGGATTATCCATTGATTACATATTTGCCTTTTTTACATTTTGTATGGATTATCCATTGATTACATATTTGCTTTTATTACATTTTCTATGGATTATCCATTGATTACATGATTGCATTTATTACATTTTGTATGGATTATCCATTACCAATGACATCCTCCAGTTCCTCTGGAATATCGTATTCCTCTTCTTCCTCCTTGACTTCCTGTCTCTGGTTTATGGTCTGCTGAACAGATCCTCCTTTCTGAAGATTGTCCATTAAAGAACGATTACCACGCTGGTATCTGAAAAACAAGAGGCCCAAGGGCCTTGAATCACTCTTCTGATAAACTGTATAACCTATCACTTCTATTTGAAGCCTTTAAGTATCCTGTATAGTTAGATAAACCCTTAAAATTCCAAAGGTAGGTCATCATGACCTACATTTTAGATGAAACTCTGAGAACCCAAGATGATTCTAAGCCAATTAGTACTTGAGAGTTGGTCATGGTGACCTACATGTCACTTGTCATTCTCTGAGAACCCAAGATGCATCAACTAAGTTTGATGATTCTAAGCCAATTAGTACCCAAAATATTTAATTAAAGCCATAAATTTTCAAAAGTAGGTCACAGTGACCTACTTTTCAGTCAACTTACTCCAAAGACCCAAGATGCATCAACTGACAAAGTTTGATGATTTCAAGCCAATTAGTACCCAAAATATTTAATTATAGTCATATAAATTGAAAAGTAGGTCAAGGTGACCCACTTTTCAGTCGACCTACTCAGAGGCCCCAAGATGCATCAACTGACAAAGTTTGATGATTCTAAGCCAGTCAGTACCCAAAATATTTAATTAAAGACATAGATTTTCAAAAGAAGGTCACGGTGACCTACTTTTTAGTCGACCTACTCCGAAAACCCAAGAAGCATCAACTGAAAAAGTTTGATGATTCTAAGCCAATTAGTTCCTAATATATTTAATTAAAGCCATAAATTTTCAAAAGTAGGTCACGGTAAACCTACTTTTCAGTCGACTTATTTCGAAGACCCAAGATGCATCAACTGACAAATTTTGATGATTTCAAGCCAATTAGTACCCAAAATATTTAATTATAGTCATATAAATTGAAAAGTAGGTCAAGGTGACCCACTTTTCAGTCGACCTACTCAGAGGCCCCAAGATGCATCAACTGACAAAGTTTGATGATTCTAAGCCAGTCAGTACCCAAAATATTTAATTAAAGACATAGATTTTCAAAAGAAGGTCACGGTGACCTACTTTTTAGTCGACCTACTCCGAAAACCCAAGAAGCATCAACTGAAAAAGTTTGATGATTCTAAGCCAATTAGTTCCTAATATATTTAATTAAAGCCATAAATTTTCAAAAGTAGGTCACGGTAAACCTACTTTTCAGTCGACTTATTTCGAAGACCCAAGATGCATCAACTGACAAATTTTGATGATTTCAAGCCAATTAGTACCCAAAATATTTAATTATAGTCATATAAATTGAAAAGTAGGTCAAGGTGACCCACTTTTCAGTCGACCTACTCAGAGGCCATAAGATGCATCAACTGACAAAGTTTGATGATTCTAAGCCAATTACTGTAGATTCCTTATTTTTCGCGAGTACTTATTATTGCGAAATGGCTCTTTCACGTCAAATCGCGAGAACAATAATTCGCGAATGCACGGTTGATCAAGGGATTTTACTTTGATTTCAGCACCATAAAAATAAAAGCGAGTAATTTTATTTTGCGAGTGGTGCTTCTCGCGTAATTACGCGATAATTAATTCCTCGCGTATATTTAGGAATCTACAGTAGTACCTGAAATATTTAATTAAAGCCATAAATTTTCAAAAGTAGGTCATGGTGACTTACTTTTCAGTTGTTGTACTCCGAGGACCCAAGATGCATCAACTGACAAAGTTTGATGATTCTAAGCCAGTCAGTACCCAAAATATTTAATTAAAGCCATAGATTTTCAAAAGTAGGTCACGGTGACCTACTTTTTAGTCGACCTACTCCGAAAACCCAAGAAGCATCAACTGACAAAGGTTGATGATTCTAAGCCAATTAGTTCCTAATATATTTAATTAAAGCCATAAAATTTCAAAAGTAGGTCACGGTAAACCTACTTTTCAGTCGACTTATTTCGAAGACCCATGATGCATCAACTGACAAAGTTTGATGATTTTAAGCCAATTAGTACCCAAAATATTTAATTATAGTCATATAAATTGAAAAGTAGGTCAAGGTGACCTACTTTTCAGTCGACCTACTCAGAGGCCCCAAGATGCATCAACTGACAAAGTTTGATGATTCTAAGCCAATTAGTACCTGAAATATTTAATAAAAGCCTTAAATTTTCAAAAGTACATGTAGGTCACAGTGATCTACTTTTCAGTTGTTGTACTCCGAGGACCCAAGATGAATCAACTGACAAAGTTTGATAATTCTAAGTCAATAAGTACCTAAAATATTTAATTAAAGCCATAAATTTTCAAAAGTAGGTCACAGTGACCTACTTTTCAGTGACGTTTTTTGAGGACCCAAGATGCATCAACTTACAAAGTTTTATCATCATAGGCCTTAAAATGTCTAAATTATGCCTCTTAAACACTTTGAAATTGAATGCCTGCAAGGTTCAAAAAGTAGGTCACTGTGACCTACTTTTTAATAAATATATTTTATGGCCCCAAGATGCATCATCTTACAAGATTTAATGATTCTAAACCTCTCAGTATTCGAATTAATGACCTTAATTGTTTTGAAAAAGATTAGCTATAAAATTCAAAAAATAGGTCAAGGTGACCTACTTTTTAGTCGATGTACTCCGAGGACCCAAGATACATCAACTGACAAAGTTTGATGATCATAGGCCTTAAATTGTTCAAAATATGCCTCTAAATCATTTTGAAAAAGAATAGCTGCAAAATTTAAAAAGTAGGTCATGTGATCTACTTTTGAGTCAACATGATATGAGGTCCTTAGATGCATCAACTGACAAGATTTGATGATCCTAGTCCTTATAGTAAGCAAAATATCAACATTTTAATAAAATGTAATTTTTGGTCAACTTTGAAGTGACCTTGAGACCACACCCTTTGCCCCAGGGTAAATCCCCATGCAAATTTTTATCTACAACATATCCTCATCCTTTTGTGTAAGTTTGGTGATAATCTGCCCAATGGTTCTTGAGAAGAAGATTTTTTAGCAACCAGTGCTTTTGTTTCTATTTTCCTAATTATCTCCCCTTGTTTAAGGGTTACAACCCTAGTTTTAGTATAAACGGGAGCCCTTGGGCCAAGGATACCCTGTGACAAATTTGACAATAATTGGCCAAGGGGTTTTTGAGTTATGGCCCATATTCTAAAAAGTTTACGCACACCGCACACCACACAAATGGCCACAGCATTAGCTCTTTGAGCCTTTGGCTCAGAAGAGCTAATAAAACATCTATTTTGACATGATAAAGTAACCCAGAAAGAGAACTGGTTGATTACACAGGCTTAACTACAGCTGAATAACGAGTATCTAGGTCTCTTCAGTGACCAGTAGATAAAATGCTGGTTGCCAGTTTTGGGTAACAAATATCTCAGTAATGATAATTACTGGATCTAAAGCTTAAATGAGCAAATCCAAGCAGAAATGTGAATGTGTATTTTTTCATTTAATTCAAAAATAAGGGGGAAACACAAAATCATGTAAATACATGTATTAAGAGGGAAATGAAGTCGTAACTGAGATTATCATTAAATCTTAATTACTTAAGCATAATAATTTTATCCCCCCCTGAACTGCACTTAAAAAATATGTATTATATTTATTACATTCATTTATTACAATCACATCTTCCTCATCTGATAACATGTCTAAAAGAAGGATATTCACAACCTCAGACAAGAGGCCAAAGGGCCATATTGCTCATCTGCATCATCTTACCTTTCCAACAAGAGCCCCAAGGGTCACGATGCTTATACTAGTCACTTAACCTTTCTGACAAATATGTGCATAAATGAATAACCTTAAAGTAGTCAACAACATATTAAATTCCATGATTTAAGCCATCTTAATTAAGTATATTGAGTCTTGAAGTCAAGGGTACAAGCTATAGCCTTGTTCCTGCAGAAGTTTTATATCTGTGTGAAACTATGACACATTTTGAGGTCCCAACCTAGCCCCAGGGACCATGAATTTTCACTACATGGGGATACACACATATCACTATGACTATTATTGTAAATCTTTAGTGATGAGAAGAGGATTTCCTAAGATTTTTTCCCTGTTTACTCCAACATCAAAATCTGACCTACTGGGATGGCCCCATTTTTGCCCAGTTTTGCACAAACTTGAATCTTTACTTCATAGAGATTTTTGTGTAATTGCAGCCCTTCTTTTCTTGAGCAAACTTGAATTCCCTTTACCCAAGGATGCTT